GTGTGTGTGTAAACCGGGAGTCATCCATCTTTCTCAGCGCCTTTTTTCATTTCCAGTTCCCTTAACAGCTCTCTTCGGGGGAACACATCTAGAGAGTGTGTGTGTGTGTGTGTGTGTGTGTGTGTGTGTGTGTGTGTGTGTGTGTCTGTGATCTGATCTGGATGGTTACTAATTCCTTTTCTTTATGGGAACACCATGGGTGTTACAAAGTTGACTAAATCATCCAAAATTCAATGAAAGTGGTGATCAGCAATTTCATATGTTCAAATGTCTACTGTGAAGGATATCACAAAGCCTTAATGCAATCGAATGTAAAACAAAAAAGTTATGATTGATGAAAGTAGTAAATCGGTCAGATTTGACCCGAAGACAACAGGAGGGGTAAAAGAACTCAGCGTTGGTGAAGACCTCAGGTTTTCTGGAAGTTTGTTCCATGGGGAGCGCTTCGGCGTGTTTGGCATATTTAAAGCTAATGACAGCATATTCACAATGACAATGATTATATCTGATGTTTAGCAGATATAAAGTAAACGTTCATGACCAATTTGGCCATTGTTGTTTAGAATAAGAGCATACTCACATGTTCTCACTAAACTAAAAGGTACACTTGAGTTTTGGTCATTACAAATAGAGGGATGTGATACTAAAATAGAGTTAAGAATGTTAAAGTGACTAGGATACCTCTCAGGACCATTATTGTCAGTACAAAAATGTCATTGCAATCCGTCCAATAGTTTTGAAAACAATGTATGCAAGGACCAAAGTGGTAGACCACCAAACTGACCCAGTCTGTCAGCACAACAATAGTAGGGATACAAAAAATAGATGCTGTCTCACCTTTAACTTAAAGCCGTCTAACACAGAGCTTCACAACATGGAAATCTCATCGCACATTGTTCTGTAGAAATTGTTCAATCCTTCTCAGCTGCAGTTTGAAAACATTCCTTTGATTGGCATCTTCCCTTAATGTGGAGGTAAAGGGGGAGAATGAAATGTTAGTGGAACATTTCCTTGGATTATTCCACATCCATTTCAAATGTAGAAAAAAAGGGAATAAAGTCAGCTGGGGCTTTTGATGGGCACTAGATGTAATGCACGCACCACTGCATCTGTGCAGTGGTGCAAAAACGGGGGGGATCGGATCAGGAAGATAAATTAGAGGAGCACCTCGCAAAGCTTTCCACTCGAAGCCTGAGGTTTGACAGAACCGTGCAATTCTTACACTTGTCAAAAATGTGTACCAGATGCATGGCATGTAAATTAAACTGGCAACAAAACACAGCCAGTAGGCAATGAAGGCAACTGAGGTTTGAAGTTAACAAATCTAAAAGTATTAGCAGGGAACAGAGTTTGAATGAGTATGCTATTGTGACTGCTGGAGGAGCTCTATTTTTCTCTATAAAAAAAACATTTGCGGGGTTGAGATTCCTGCCTCACTTGTCTAACATTGCCAGTGGCAGTCAACAAATCAATAACTCCAAAATAAGACTGTTGTTCCTCCAAATCCTCTATGATTACACCCGCGTTACCAATAACTACTGCAAACACTGTCCTTCACCACACTGCCTGGGATAATCTGACATACAGTGCAAAATGACCCACAACAGAACATGAGCTCTTTTTAAAGACAGGGCCAGTGCATCACATTTTAATGTCTCCTTTGCTTCCTGCTGAAACACAAATAGACAACACGTTCTCACTCCCAACTCGTTACATATTAACGATCGGTCAGGGCCCCTTCTCGTCACCCTATTACGCACTGAGTACCCCTTGAGCGTCAGTTTTTAACGGGCAGGGCGTCCCATACAGGGCCGGCCCTGACCAATTTGCTGCCCTAGGCAAGATTTTAGCTGGCGCCCCCCAAAATGCAGACACTCACCATGACTCGTGTATGCATGCACGTGCACGGTTGTGGCATGACCACCAAAACAGAAAGATATGGACACAAGATGTGTGCAAATGTATTTAGTATTCTATCCATTTGAACATGATTTAAGTGGGGGGTGGACCTAACTTCCTCTAGGGGGGTGGCTCGCTCCCACGAGAAGATTTTTTTAAATATTGAAGTTAAAAGCATCAATCTGGCGCACTTTGAGAGAAAGGAAAGTGATGCAGCAGATCAAAGAGTACCGCATGGAGCTCCAGGAGCAGGACCGGCAAAAGCAACAGAAGGAGGAGGCGGAGCGCATCATGGAGCGTCAGCTGCTGGAGGAGCTGGAGAGACAGTGACAGGCAGAGCTCACGGCTCAGAAGGCCAGAAAGGAGGAGGAAACATCTAAGCGGGAGGAGCTGGTAAAAATCCTGGAGGAGAATAACCGCCAGATGAAGAGCGAACTGGAGCGAGCGGCCGCTAAGAAGCTGGAGAATGTGAACAGCAGCCTGCAGCGTCACCTGCAACGCAGCACGGAGGAGAAGGAGGAGCGCCAGAGGGAGCTCATCAGCACTAAGCAGCAGATAGCCACTCTGATGCAACTGCAGCGGCCCGGGCGGATCCCGCTCAGCTAGAGAGGCCGCAGTCCCGGCTCTCTAAGAAGAAACTGGCAGAGGAGAAGGAAACTAAAGACAAGGAAGATGTTATTCTGGCTGAGGAGGAGTGGGTGAAAATGGCCGAAAAGATCCGTCAGGAGAGAGAGCGCGTCATGCAGCAGAACCAGCAGGAGCGCAAGGAGAAGAAGAATCAGATCCCGAAGAGAAAGAAAGGGAAGCTTCCTTCTGACTTCACGCCCCCCCCCTGAGGAAACTATGCTGCACAAGGGGAAGCAGAAACCTTGTAGGGAAGCCAAGACTTCCAAGACACTGTGCTTCCAGGGGAGAGGGGTAAGGAAATGTCACGGACGTGATCTCTGGGCTCATAGATCTCGGCCTCCGTTACGGGTTGTTTAGCTTTATTGTGGTTGAAAAGTGTTCCCCTTCCAGAATGTCTGTCGTTGATTGTGTGCACCTGGTGCCCTGTGTTGTCTCCTCCCCCCTCACCTGTGTCCTGTTGGGTTGATTGGGTTGGGCATTTAGGCTCTGGGGTTTTGCTGCGAGGGAAGGGAGTGTGTGTGAGATCCTGGTGGTGGCTGGTGACTGTGTGCACAGGAGCAGCAGATTGAGGCTGTGTCATATCATATGTGTATGATTTAATAAATGCCCACACCGGGTTGTATTTTTGGATGTTTTGCCTCTGCCTCCTTGCTTGGTCGGGCCACTCAATTGTCAGCTTCACAAAGTCGCTTTGGATAAAAGTGTCTAACAAGCAGAACATTTCCGTCAAAATTCAGTATTACCCGTCGGCCTTTA